GAAAAATAGTTAGCTTTGGGGAAGAGGGAGGGAGCGAAAATTGTGAAGAAGCATGAATTCTGAGTTTCTTGTAATATGCTTTTTCTTGGCCTTGGTAGTGGTTATGATGTGGATTGAGGCTGCCCCAGCTAGAGAAGCCCAAGTTGACCTGGCCTACATGCCAAACTATATGACCCAGTGGACTTTTTTTATCGTATGAATTAGGACTGCGCCAGGGAGAGAAGCCCAGGGCATCCTCACCTACATGCCGATCTATATGGCCAGATTCGTATCTAAAGTTATATGACCGCACAATAACCAGACCCCATCTGCACTGAAATCATTTAATGACTTTTTACATCATCTTTTCTTTTTTTTTCCAGTAAAAATAAGTCACGTACCCATGCCTTATAAAATTAGCCCTAACCCTCAACTCAGGGCAGCAGCAGGAGCTCTGACCGCCCATGGGTCCTGTCCCCACGCACCAGCTCTGCCTGCCCATGGGTCCTGTCCCCATGCTATTCCACACTATTCTCTAAATAGAAGAGCACTACTGCCAGATCTTGAGAATCTAAGAAATCTTTCTTTCGACTCCTCGGCTCACCGACCCCCCATCAGTTACTTGGTGCTCACTTTGGAATAATTCATTAACCTGTAACCCTTATTATTTGTACACTTTTATGAATGCATGATATACTTCAAAACAAGTTTAAAAGTGTTTGTATTCATTTTATATTACTGTGTAACAAATTCTCACAAACTCAGTGTCTCAATACAACGCCTTTCATTATTTCACAGTTCCCATAGGTCAGAAGTTCAGCCTGGCTCAACTGAGTTTCCAGAGTGGGGCCCACTTCAAAGTGCCCGAGGTCATTTGCATACAGGAAATCTCACCAAAGCACTTTAATCCATTTCTGATACAGCCTGGGTTTCCGCACTCAGCCCTCCCTCCCTCCGCTTGCATTTAATCCATTTCAAAACCATTAAGAGCTGTGAAGAATGCCCGCATGTAATCAAATACAAAATCCACTTAAGAAGCACTTTTCAATGAGATTCTCCAGGTCTTTGAAGCCAAGTGGGACCTCAGCTTGCCTGCCCAACTCTGACTCCTTGGAGTCTGTCTGCCCATCTGTCTGTCTCCTGGGGCCAGTGGCCTTGACCTGGTCAACAAGACATCCTTCCCCATCAGCAGGTTTTTGATAACACTAAAATGACATAGATTACAGGGTTTACCCTATCTGAGGGAAGGGGAAAGAGCGGGAGCCCGATCTTGGAGATCTCTGTCTCCCTCAGCGTGCTCAGCACAGAGTACCTGGTCAGTAATGCCTGTTGAATTTGATTGGAAGAAGAAAAATTTTGGTGAGAAAGAATTCTAAATCATAGTCATGTCTAAAAGTCTAAATCAGACTTTCTTTACCCTGACACGGTTTCCAGTAAGTGCATCAAGATTATCTTGTTTTATATATGGTGAACTCTTTGACTAAGTTGCCCAGAATTCAGCATTGGTTTTCATTCCTTCACTGTTGTGGGGAGGAGGTATTCTTTATTGTATTTCCTGGCTCAAGATAGGAGAAGCAAGTTGTTTTCCTGCCGTGCTTCTCAAAGACCTTGCCTTGCCCCACCCCCTTTTAGAAACTAAGGCTAAGTCACGTTTCTATCAGCCACCGATGCAGCAGATGGAGTAAGATTTGGCAAAAGGAAACCAGCACAGGCAGACACTTTGCTAGAGGCTGGGGAAGCCGAGATTTCTGGAAGACCAGGTTTCTGGACCTGAGGGATAAGGGAGAGGGGGTAAGGCTGGTGAAAGACAACAAAAGAAATATGTGTTGACAAGATAAGGTAAACTCTGGCCATGAGTGCCAGGACGGGGGTCTCTCAACTGGAAGCCGGGGAAGGGAGGACAGAGTCAGGAAGAGCTTCCCAGAGCAAATGGCACCTGGCTTGAGTCTCAAGAAGCTAGTTCAAGTTCCCTCTATGAACTACCTTCCAGGTCATAGAAAAAGAAATACAAGCACCCCATAAACACAGGAAGCAATGCAAATCCAAACAACAAGATATGAGATATCTTTCACATACAGAATTAGCAAAAACAAGATTTTTTGCTCAATTCGCTTAACGGGGGAGGAAGGAGAAAGAGAGGAGAGGAGACTGCTGCAGGCTTCTTGGAAAACAACTTGGAAATGTCCACCCTTTAACCAAGCAATGCCATTGCTAGAAATTTACTGGCTGGATATATTCTCAAGCACTCATCAGGGTATATGTACAAGGGAGTTCCCTGAAAACACAGAAACACTGCGTCCATCCATTGATAAAATGTTATGAAATGTCTGTATAGGAATTCATATGATATAGCCCCCACCCACCCCCAACACACACATACAAAATGGAGTCCTCTCCTAGGCCCTTCTCCGTCCCTCTTACCCAGTTTATGTAACAATATAGCTCTAAAGTGACTCATTTGAGCTCATCTTCCCCCCTGCGATTGCAGGTTTTTGAGAGCAGAAATCTATTCTTCTAAACCCCACACAGAGATCTGGGGCAAATACAGAAGAGGTTTCCAGTCTCTGTTTGCTAATTTCACCAGTGAAAACAGAAAGCCATTAACTTGTTAAGGACTGGGCCCTGACAGTCAACCAGTAGACTCATTAAATACCTGTTGACTGAACAGCCCAATAGCAAATATCTAGCCACGCCAGCACCACAGCTCTTCCCTCCCTTAATCCTCTTCCTGTCCCAAAACCTTGCCCAGATTCTGTCCCCCCTACATACACTTCACTTTCTCTGCCCTCTCTCTTGACCTGTGGGGAATGCAGATCTTTTCAGTGAGTTCCCGTCCTTGGATAAGAAGGAACTTTGTATGGCAGAAAGGCTGACAGGCTGGGGTTGCCAGCCATGCTAACATTGCCAGTCTCGGGGCTTCAGTTCCTTCCTCTGAAAATAGGGAGGTGATTTCCAGGGGTCGTGGTTCAAGTTCTAAAAGTTCCACACCAGCCCCTTTAGATAAGGAAGTCAATTCAGGGGTGATATTCTGCTGGCAGTTCTGCCACAGACCTGCCCAGCCTCTGTGGAAAAGACATTTTGAAAATCTACAAATGGGATTAGTTGTCTCATCCATAATGTGAGACGAATAATGCCAACCACTTATCTGTGAGTGTTGAGGACCCTGAAGCACAAAGTGCTCTACAAATGTACCTGGTTTCTTTAAGCCTCCTTGCAGCTCCTGGGGTTGGCGGCAGCCTTCTCCCATGCTGCCCTCCCCCACATCCGGCTTCCAGAGCTTCAGGCCAAGTTCCCCAGACCTCTCTGAATCTCTGCATGCCACTGGAGCATTTCACAAGTTGAAAGGCCACACAAGGTGAAGCCCAGCAGGAACTAAATAGCCAGCTGTTGTGGAGTTGCAAATGCTGCCAGCTATAAGTAAATGGGCTGCATTCCACCATCGCTCGGATGGGCCCCCATACAAATAATTTTTAGTTTACTTCTCCCAAGATGCAGATGGAGAAGCAAATAGTGGGTCTTCTCTGCCCCTGTGGACGCAGCGCATTCGGACAGGTAGACACTGATGCTGAAATGGCCTCGGGTCCTGCCGATTCGTTCTGCCACGGTGTAAATCCGATGAAGAGATGGGTGAAATGAACTACATAAACGACTCGCACTTGTGTGTCTGGCAATACTAGGCAGACGCCAGGCATTTACTTTAGAAATTAGAATGAAATTATATTTAGAAGAAACTACTCGTGGCTTTGGGCGTATTTAGTAACAAATTCAATAATCTGGAGCATTGGGGCGTCAAGTGGGGCACTCCGGTTCACGGCAGCGCCTCTCTCCAGCTGCGGCGTCTGGGGCTTAGCGCGAACCACCAAATAAACGCTTTTAGGGTACCACGGGACACGTCTGAATCCGGGGTTAATTCCGGCGGCTTGGGAGGAGGGGCGGCGAGGGGATGGAAGAGGCCACACTGTGGGCACCGGGACACTGATAAAACCCAAGTGAAACCAAGTGGCAAGGCTGAAATGGCCTCCCATGCCGGACCGCCGTGTTTCTAGGACTTTTTCACAGAGTACACTTGGCACCGCGACTACAGATCCTCAGCAGCTGCGCCCCAGCCCCCTATCCGCCAGGCAGGCGCAGCCCCCGGCCGCACGCTCCCGCCTCCCAGCCGGCCCGCACGGGCGCCTGGCGCCGGCTCCCGCTTCCTTCCAGCCTCCACTTGCAATTCAGGTTCGTCTGGAATTTACACTCACAGGAGATCAGACACCCCTCAGGGACCCCTCCTGACCCTGAACTTCCATCTCGTTTGCAAGATTCCGAGGTTTTCTCCCCACACACCCAACTCCCCCCGGCACACACTTCTTGGCCACCCGAGTATGCCCAGGGCAGAGCCCGGGGCCACACAAAGGGGAAAGAAAATTTCAAGAAGTAAAACTTGGCCCTAAAGTATCAAACGCCTTGAGAGACCCATGCGTGGTGTTTAGGTTTTCCTAATTAAAGCAATTACTTTCCACCACTCCTCCAACGTGAAAACCCCAGCTGGAGAGAGTATTTGATGATTTTTTTTTTTCCTCAAGAGTAAATCAATATTTTTAACCCACGACTAATGATAGAGACATTAGGGCTAGTTAACCACAGTTTTACAAGACTTCGCCTTTTCCCTTCTTTGTTTTTCCCTCCTCTCACCTCCACCCCTGGAGTGACAAAGCCTTGTAAGGGGGGTGGGTCTCCCGTCTCCCCACCCCACTGAGGACCCTCCCCGCACCCCAGGGGCTTGTTGTTGAGGAAGGAGAATCCCCGGGAAGGCTGAGTCCCTGGCCGGGGTCAGAACACTCTTTAGGACCCAGCCCGGTGATGAGTCGCCCAGTTTCCCGGGACATCCTGGCTCCTGCTTCTCCTAAGACCGTCTGGGGAATGATTTTTTTTTAAATCCCTGTTTTCTTTTCGGAAATTAATGTTTTTATTTCCATGTTTTGGCAATGACTGTGAATTAAAGCCATGCTAAAATTTCTTCGCCCCTAAACTGTTAGGAGCCGTGGACCGCAGGAAGATGGAGCGCTTCTCTTGCAGGTATGAACCATCTTGAATGTGAACTTCTGATTACTAGAGCTTGCCGGCTTAGGAAATAGTGTCCTACACCTCTCTGTTGTTTGATTTCATCTTGCTCAAACCTTGAAAGAGCTGCAAACAGTGCTGTTTTTCCTGAAAGACGTGGAACCTCACACTTATGTCCAACTTTGCCATTGGCTTATAACGTTTGCAGTGGGGTTAATGGCTCTGCCTATGAAATTGATGCCGGCTCGGCGAGCCGAGGAGTCGAAAAAGATTTCTTGGACTCTCAAGGTCTGGTAGTAGTGTGCTTTTATTCACAGAATAGCGTGGGGACAGGGCCCATGGGCAGTCAAGGGCTGCAATGTGTTGAGGGTTAGGGTAAATTTATAATTCATGGGGACGTGACTTATTTTTAGTAGACAAAGGAAAGATGATGTAAAAAGTCATTAAAATGGTATCAGTGCAGGTGGGGTCTGGTTGCTGTGTAGTCGTATAACTTTAGATATGAATCGGGTCAGATAGATCAGCATGGAGGCCAGGACGCCTTGGGCTTCTCTCCCTGGGGCAGCCTTGATCCACGTCAAAATGACTAACATTTTCTTAATCTTGTGTAAGAAAAGGTCAAAATTACAACCAAATTAAACATCTGCTTCTGAAAAGGTTAAAGGTATAGACAGATTCCACATTTGCAAAACTATTAAGAGTAATAGGGGGACTTTTTTAACCTCAAAATCGTTTAATTGACTGATTTAAATGAAGTAGTTTGTAAAATTTGATTTGTCATCTATGTAGAATGTCATGCAGCCATTTAAAAAATTTTATATGAAAACTGTGCAGGAGAAAAATACATGTTATGTGAAACAGAAGATAAAAGATTTACATCTATTAAAAAGTATGTGCATATGAGGACAGAGCCTAAGAAGTAATGACACATATTGAGAAGAGTTGGATATTAGGTGGCTTGTATTCTCATCGTTTTTCTTTATGTTGTACATGAATTAGTCAGCCATTTACAAAGCCAGGAAAAAGAAGAAAAGAAAGGTGGTCCTCGCAATTTCTCCTTGGTGGTCTGTGGTCTTGTCCTTGTGACGAAAAGGCCTGGGTGTTATCTCTAAGGCTTTTATTTGATTTGTTTTGCTAACGAATGTCTGATCTCCTCTTTCTAGTGTGATTATGGTCATGGCCATTTCCACAGCGTTTGAACTGGGATTGGTTGCTGGTGAGAGACTTTTCATTCTTTTGATCATTAGCAATTTTCATGTGACCTGAAATACAGGCTCCATGAGTTGATTTTGTTGTTAAGGGTTGGGCCACCATGAGCTTGCACGTCCGTCCCAGGGAGACCTGGCCTTCAGAGCTGACACCGTTCGGTCCCAGGAGGAGCCTGCAGTTCGTCGGCGGCAGCCTTTCCAGTTTGTGCCATCCACGGGAATCCAGGACAGTAAGACTACCAGCTTAGCTGGATCTGCAGTGTGGTGTCCCTGACCTGGCCCTTCACGTGTCTCCTGAGTATCTTCTTGACCCTCTTGCACCTGAGAGAGTGGGCCCCGATTCTGGAGCTGGGTGGAAGGTTGGACTGGTTTTGGTTATGGAGGTGAGACAGGCATTGTGTCTGTCACCTCCCTGGAACACATTCCCTCACCTGATTTCCGCTTCACGCTGGGGACCCGGGAATCACCACTGGCCTGGAAGTGAAAAAGATTTCTCTGCCAAAAGGCACAGGTAGCAAAAGGAACACTAAAAAGCAGAGTCTTGTTCTGTGAGGTTTATAGTGTTTAGACATCTGCAAACACTGCGGGGAGACTAAGTCCTTAGTGCTGCGTTATCCTTTGCTACAGGAACTCAGCTTTTCGCTCCCTCCACCCTCTCAGCCACCTCTTCTTACATTTCAGGTAAAGAGCTAAACAAAACGTGCTGTCTGAATGGGGGAACCTGCATGCTGGGCTCCTTTTGTGCCTGCCCGCCCTCCTTCTATGGACGGAACTGTGAGCATGATTTGCGCAAAGAGTAAGCCGTTAAAACAGGTGGGGTGGAGGCGACCGGGAAAGAGAAGAGAGGATTCAGAATACTGAAGCATCGTCTTACCTGTTCATCCTCAGAAACTGCGGGTCTGTGCCGCACGGCACCTGGCTGCCCAGAAGGTGCTCCATGTGTAAATGCTGGCACGGCCGGCTTCGCTGCTTCCCTCAGGCCTTTCTGCCGGGTTGTGGTAAGCGATGTTCCCCTCTTTTGCCCTTTCAGGCTGGTTAGTTGCCTGTGGGTGCTGAGTTAGTTAATGGCGTCTCTCCTCTTTCTCACCTCATGGCTTGCTACGGCTGGCAGTTGTTCTGCTTCTAAAAGCATCAAGGACTCCAGATGGGATAGTCACCATGGCATCTTTGATACTTAACTCCCTCAAAATGTGGTTAGTCGTGCTGCCTGTCACATGGAGAGTTACTACAGTCTGTTTGAGGGTTTATAGTAGGTGAACTTCTATTGAGGAAAATAAACAAAGAAGTGCTTGGCCTCTTAAACACCGAGAGATGCTCTCTGGTGTTCCTTTCCTTTGGGCAGGAAGACCTAGACAATCTCCAGGGGATCAGCTCAGTGAGTGCCCACTCTAACAGCGGGGTCGGGGGCACCCAACTCCAATTAATGCCCTTGTTTCCCACCAGAGGCTTGACTCCACTCTCATTCCTTAGGAACTTCTTGGATCCTAAAAGGCCCCTACACGGACACCCCCGCCCCCCCACCCGGCCATGCTTGGTCTCAGATCCCTTTCACCTTATTGATTTCTATTGATTTGAGGAGAACAACGACAAGAAGGGCAGAGGCCACGAGGAGAGGGATCTCCTCCACCCCAACCAGAGCCCAATTTCCAGGTCCACCCAAGTTCACTGGCCTCTCGTGGTTCTTACTCTATAGATGTTAGAAATTGAAAATGTTCGAGTCTAGAAAGTAAATGAAAGCAAATACTTCACTTGAGTACAAGATGGGGCCCCCAATCCAGACAGGCTTTTGTCTTTTCCATTTGCAACCTGAGTGTCAGGCCCAGGATAGGTGTTTGGTAAGTGTGGGTTGAAGGATCGGATGGGTGGGGACCATACTTTTTTCCTGGAACTTGGGGCCTAAAACATGCTGTCTCCTTATCATCAGAGCCTAACCAAGTTCTGCTGCACCCCTGCAGCTGAAGGTGTCGTCAGCTGGGGTAGGTTATCAGGTGTGAGAGCACATGCCCGAGGAAGAGCAAGTTAACAATAGGCCCATGGCAACTTTTGTTGAAAGATATTTTTCAGGAGCATCTGAATTCCATGTTGTCAGTACTGTTGATCCCATAAGCACACTACTCAAATGTTGGGCCCCAACTAATTTTTGGCTCATGGAGATATGTCACGTATGTGGGCAGCAGGATAAACTGCCAGAGGGATTTCCTTTAATGACCAAGTGTCTCCACCTTCCAGATGGCCATGTGATGGATGAGCACCTCGCAGCTTCCAGGACTCCAGAATCAACACTGTCTGCGTGCACCACTCTTACCCTAGCTGCCATCTGCCTTGCCATACAAAGTTACTGTTAATCAACATTTGCATGCAACATTTGTCCTTAGATTTCACGACCAGTAAAGGCTATCTCTCCATTGTCCTGAGAGATGATCATTTATTTGTTGCCGTGAAATAGGGAATAGATTTCCATAGTGGTGCCTAACATTTCCTTAAAGTACCAACTACTTTCCTCTGCCCTACTCTCTCCAAAAAACTACTTTAAAAAAAAGTCAGCTGTATCTGCACTGTGCCTAAGTTCTGTGTAACTCTACCAAGCGCGTTTTATTAATATTTTCCTTTAAACAATTGAATTCTGTATTCAGATTATTAAAGGCTAATCCTGCTGTGGAACAGGATAAAGTTTTGACTAGAGTGATCAAAATCAGTTAAGACATTATCTTTCGAAGAAAAGGAAAGGAAACATCTCTAAGGGACCAAATAAGAGGGCAGGGGGCAGATAGTAGAGATGAGGACAGGATGCTGGAGTGATGGAAGTGCGTGTGTACCAGGGAGACCAGGCAGAGAAGAGGAAGCAAATGGGAGAGACGGACTGGAAAAAATAAAAAGCGTTGCTTGCCTGATGATTAGATGGGCACAGAGAAGCAAGTAAAAAGCCAAGCTGAAGGGCAAGTTTCTATCATCTATAGAAAACTACATAAGCCAAGAACACCCCTTTTTTCTCAAGGCATTATAAAGAGAATGAAGTCTTCTTGGAAAAAAATTCTGTCTAAATTTCCCCAAGAAGAGTGTTTAATGAATTGTTTCCGCCACACTATGCAATTATTTTAACTTTTGTAAAAGAAAATGTTCACAATATATTTAGTTGTAAACCAAGTGATAAAACTACATTGTACAGCCCATTTTTAAAATACATTATGTGTATGAATATGCCCTGTATTAGCAGGAAATATATTGACCAAAATGTGAATTGTGATTATTTTTAGGCAGTGCTTTGTGGTGGTGGGTTCTTTCCTTCTGCACTTTTGTGTTTCCCACAGTGAGGGTGTTTTACATCCATTGGCATACGGGATGGGATGACGGCATCAGGCTTGAAACTGACAAAACTGGAAGAGCCAGGAGCTCAGGGCAGTGCTGTCCGGTTCCTGGTGTATGTGCTGATGTGATGGACATGATTTGCTTCCATTATTTGGGTACTGCTTGATCCACAATTCGTGTTTTTCCAGATTAATGCTTTGTAGATGCAAAATTCCAAATGAGTGGAATTTTTTGCAGCGCCCCATGGACAGAGGTGAAATGGGAGAAGCAGGAAGCAGTGAGGTACACCACAAGGAGCTCAGCTCACGGGGGTGGGCGGCCCAGGGGGAGGGCTGGGCTGGCCACTTCCTGGCAGTGGGGCCCAGTTTCCCAGGGGCTAACACGGGTTAGTCCCTACAGCAGTGTTCTTAGAATTAAATGAAAAAAAATAGAGCACTAGTACAAAAAGTGTTCTCAACAAACGTCACATTTCTTCTTTTTCTACCTGCCTGTGTACCGCAGAGTGTTTTAAAACTTCTTTTTGCTCAGAAATGGAAAATTTTTAAAAAAACAACTTCAGAGTATGGGAAGAAGGCTCCCCATTTGCATGCAAGTAATCCTGTAACCACACTGGGGTGAGACTGGGACAGTGCTTCCCAAACTTGGGCATCCACATACCACCTTGATTTGGGCCACATCATCTGCACTTAATTTTTTTCTTTACATCAACTCATTTTTTTGTTATGGTAAAATATACATAACGTAAAACTTACCTTTTCAACCATTTTTAAGTATAAAGTTCAGTGCCATTAAGTCCATTCATGTGGTTGGGCAGCCATCACCGTGGTTCATCTCCAGAACTTTTTCATCTCTAACTGAAACTCTGTGCCCGTTAGTGACTCCCCATTCCCCCTCCGCCAGGCCCTGGCAACCACTCTTCTACTTTCTATGTTCATTAATTTGACTGCTCTAGATATCTCACATAAGTGGAGTCGTACAAAAATATGTCTTTTTGTGACTGGTATGTTTCACTTAGCATAATGTCTTTGAGGTTCAGCCATGTTGGAGCATGTGTCAGAACTTCATTCCTTTTGAAGGCTGAATATTTCATTGTATATATATATACACACCACATTTTGTTATCCATTCATCCATCGATGGACATTTGGGTCGTTTCTACCTTTTGGCTATTGTGAACAATGTGTTATGACCGTTGGTATACATTGAGTTCCTGCTTTCAATTCTTGCATGTATATACTCACAAGGGGAATTGTTGGATCATATGGGTGATTCTATGTTTTAATTTTGTGGAGAACCACCATACTGTTTCACAATGGCTTCACCATTTTACCTTCCCACCAGCAATGCGCAAGGGTTCCAATTTCTCTACTACCTCGCCTACACTTGTGGCTGTCTGGGTGTTTTTTTTTTTATTAGCTATCCTAGTGAGTGTGGAGGTGTGTATCTTACTGTGTTTTGATTTGCATTTCCCTAATGATCAGTGATGTTGAGCAGCTTTTCATGTTCCAACTACCTATCAACTCTTAAATGCTTTTTACTTTACCAAAGCAGTAGTATTTGTGAAGTCCTGGATAATTTACATAAGTTTTTTTTTTTTTAAAGATTGGCACCTGAGCTAACAACTGTTGCCAATCTTCTTCTTTTTTTTTTTTGCCTGCTTTTTCTCCCCAAATCCCCCCAGTACATAGTTGTATATTTTAGTTGTGGGTCTTTCTAGTTGTGGCATGTGGGACGCTGCCTCAGCATGGTCTGATGAGCAGCGCCATGTCCGCGCCCAGCATCCGAACTGGCAAAACCCTGAGCCGCCGAAGGGGAGTGCACGAACTTAACCACTCCGGCACGGGGCCAGCCCCCAATAAGTTTTGAAATTTAAAAATAATAACATTCACCTGTATGCCATCTAAAAGCATGAACCAGACGTATATTTTGGGAAATGGTGCTCAAGGGGATGCAAAGAATTCTAGATTCCACCCACAAAAGGTTTACAGGGCCAGCCCTATAAGGGTGCATAGTGGTTAAGTTCGTGCACTCCCTTTGGCAGCCCAGGGTTTGCTGGTTCAGGTCCTGGGTGCAGACCTATGCACTGCTAATTGAGCCATCCTGTGGCAGGTGTCCCACATATAAAAAATAGAAGAAGTTGGGCACGGATGTTAGCTCAGGGCCAGTTTTCCTCAGCAAGAAGAGGAGGATTGGCCCCGGATGTTAGCTCAGGGCTAATCTTCCCCCCTCCAAAAAAAAGGCTTCCAGACTTCACAGAGCAAAGTGCCCATGTGGAAACCAATAAAGACACACCTGAGTCCACACTCTGGAGGTGGAAAAGCATTTTGCCCTTTGGCTTTGTCACTCCATGTGAGTAGACTTGTTCCAGTTCACTCAAAATGCTGTTGATGGGCCAGCCCTGGTGGCCTAGTGGTTAAGTTCGGCGTGCTCCACTTCAGTGGCCCAGGTTCTGTTCCCAGGCACAGGCATACACCACTTGTCTGTCAGTGGTCATTCTGTGGCAGTGGCTCACATAAAAAAAGAGGAAGATTGGCAGTGGATATTAGCTCAGGGCAAATCTTCCTTAGCAAAAAAAACAAGAAAACAAAAAGCCACTGATGCTGACCTGGAGGCCTGACATCAGAGAAAGTTTACTGTGTGAGGACTCAACCTTCACCTTGGACTATTATACCGCCTTTCAAACATCATCTTTAGAAAGGATTTTTAATGACATGGAGAAATGCATAGGATACAATGTCAGGTGTGAAAGGCAGCGTACAGTATAGCCTCAACCAGAATTCTTAGAAGGTTGGAAACACGAAATTATTAAAGTGGCCATTTCTAAGTAGGGGGATTATGTGTAACTTTTAATCTTATTTTCTAAGCTATCTACAATTGCATGTGATTAATTTTACAATTGGGAAATTAAGACTTTTTGTGAAGAGTAAAGGCAGGACTGACTTATTTACGTATTTGTGAAGTTAGAAATAGTGCTGGTGAGGTCCCTGGACGCTTTCACAGGAGAGTGAAGCAGAGGGTCCAGGACAACTATGAAATTACAAAATAAAATCAGCTTCAAGATGAGTGGCCAGATGTAGAATAGATGTCTCTTTTTCAGTGAAAATCATGACAGGGTCATTCATACTGGATGACATCGATAAGAGGAAACACAACACTGATCAAAACTGTTGCTCTGGGCTGTGTCTTAGATCAGGTGCCAGGAAGCTGACTGGAGACTGGCGTACAGGAGGGGTTTCTGGAGATGTGCTCCTGGGAGCAACACTCGCAGGGAGCAGCCTGCAGCAGAGGGGGAAACGAACTGTGGTGTCGCAGTGCAGCAGCCATGCTGGGGTGCGACAGAGGCCTCAGCTGTTGCCACTGGGAGCTCTGGAGTTGGCTTGGCCCTTCAGAGTTGTCCCCAGCTGAGGGAAAGGGGCCAGACCTTTGGACTCCCGAATCAACCAGTCACTGAGCAGAGGATGCCCCTGCGAGGGGGTGTGACCTTGGGTGAGTAGGCTCCCTTGAGATGAGGGCAGCTCCAGTCAATGCACCCAGCACCCCGGGGGAGTAAGTGCCAGTGGTCCTGAAGAGGGGATCCAGGTGTCCATCACAGTCAGTCCTTGTGCTGTTGATTCCACTTCCTCTAGGATTCTACTGGGCCTGGGGAACTTTGAGAAGAGGATTAATGGACAGACTGCAACCCCCAGCCCTGCAGCTGATCTCAGGGCACAACTTAAACTGGTATTCCTCTCCTTCCTCCTCCACCCACTCTACATTCCTTTACCCTGGGCCGGCACCCCTGCTGCTTTATGTGGCTCACCTGGTGGAGCAACAAGACCCTCAACCCAGGGGTCTGTGCCCCTGATCACCATGCCCTTCTCAGGCTGTGGCTGCAGTATTTACACATTGACCATCCAGTTGGGCAGGGAGGACCAAGATATGCCCCACAGAATCACCTGGCCTTTGGACCCCCACAGCAACCACTCAGTGGATATTCTGTCCTGGGGAGAAAGCATCTCCTTGGCCTAGGTGGCTCCCTTTGGCTCCTAACAGCTATTCCCAGAGAGACACAGCCATGAGCCCTCAACAGCCAACACTCCCTTCTGACTCATCTCCCAGGGAGTCAGGCCTCGTGATGGGTCCCCATCCCCCACTGCCTTCTCCCACATGCACTGCCTGGCTCATGCTGCTTCCACGACAAGGAATAATTGGCTTCCAATTGGCTTCCCTCCTCGTAACTCCTGAGGTCCATAATTACTTTCCCTTCTGCCTTATGTTATTTTATGAAACCATATGTACCATTTCACACATTCCTGCAGGACTTAGTTAGCAATGTTCAGCAAATAACATGCAACAACTGATGGCTACTTGCTTCCTTCTTTTCACAGCTTAGACATTAATCAGGGACTGTGAGCTAGTCCCATTTATCAGCAGTATCCTCCTTTAGGGAACCCTGTCTCCCTGCAACAAGGTCCTAAAGCAACCAAAAGCAAAACAAGAAAAAAACAGGGGAGTCTAACTAACCGACCCTTTCCCCTATAAGAAGTCTCCTCACCCCCAAGTGCCCCCAACGCCTGCGGGGTGCTCTCTCAAGGCCCTTGGATGAGCCAGCAGGAAGAACGAGCTCACTCTTTGGACTCGGAGCTACTTTTTTGTTTTAAAACCTCACTTTAAAAAGTTTCCAAAACTAACAAAATCAGTGGCTCTACGTTGTCTGTACCAACACTGGAAGAGTATTCAGCTGTACGGATTCTGTAAACTAGATACATGTACTCCTTTGATTAGAAAAAAAAGAATTAAAAAAGAAGACTAGCACTGCTTATTAAAGAAGCTGATAGGAGAGAGGAAGGGGAGGCCCTGGGGAGGGCAGCCCTGGAGCCAGCAGAGGGCAGGGCCGGGCAGGGCAGGGACGAGTTCAGGCCCCCCACCAACTCTTTGCTAAGGAAAGGAAAG